ACAGATCTGTAACTTTACGTGATCGATTACTTCAATTTAACAACTGCATACGATTGTACGTATAAAACTGAGCAAAAACCGAAGAATAAACTTTTTCCTTACACCTCTTCGTTTTCGAGATTATCACCTTCAAAAGTGCACGGTGCGCGATCGGTCGCTTTTGAAGTTGATTTATTCGAAATCAAAGCCTCGTATTAAGAAACTTGGTTCCACTTTTTTGCGTAGAATCGTCTCCTACTCGCAAAAATCACCTTGGTCTTCGCGATCTCGACTAATAATAGTCTGCGAGCGCCGCGTAATCAGTTGCTTTCGAAATCATTTTTCTCGAAATCAGAGCCCCGTGTCAGAAAACATTATTCCACACTTTCGACTCACTTTTTTACGTAGAATCGTCTCCGACAAAAATCACTTTGACTTCCCCGACCTCGAGTACCACACAACGGTCCGTGAACTTCGAAGTCATTTTTCTCGAATTCAAAGCCCCCCATCAAAAAACTTTGTCCCACATTTTCTATTCCTTTTTTAACGAGGAATAGGCTTCATCTGAAAGAAAATCGCCCCCGACCTCTGCGATCTCGATTAACTCGCGGCCCAGCTTCGCAATCAGAGTCGGTCCGCAAGTATTCGCGAGACCCAGTTCCCTTCGAGGCTAATTTAATTCCCGGAAGAGAACACCGTAGTCCACGCTCTCAATTTACTCTCTGACCGAGCAGTTCGGAGTTAATGAAGACGTTCGAACCACGGCGGGCCGCGGAACCGTCGTAGACGAGTTTCCATCGCGGAGGACGGAACGCAGGGGATGTAACGGATCATCCAGATTGAAAACGGTACTTTATTCTTGGTCAGCGCGATGGCTGCTCTCGTGCATGCTAATGAGTCCCCCGACGTCGCTACGGTTCTCTGTTCTTGACGAGCCGCGGACAGCCTCGTCCTTTCGTCCTGCTGGATTAGACGATGTTGATAACCTGTTTGCGGAATTCGCGGAGGATTCCGTTCGTCGGGAACTCGTACGGGCTTCCACGGAACCACTGACGTAACGAGCGTGTCATAGAAGCCGACCTTGAAGCCACTTTTCTCGCTTCGAAGTCGTTTCTGGCACGCTGGGTCCATTAGAGTAGCGGTCAGCGGAGGTAACTGCCTTGCTCGCAGAACCGATCGACGCTTGGAACGACATGGAAAGCGATATGACTGCCTTGGGGGTCGGTGAAACTGGTATTAAGATAGAGCAAGGTTGCTCAAATTTGACCACCGAACGAGAAATTACTTTTTCAAATACCCATTAATCTTGACAGTCCCAATTTTCTCGCGATAAACGAGGTGGTTACAAGAAAATTCTAACGCCAAAATATCGACTGTCCGGTTCGCGTTGAGGAAGGGAAACGATTCTGTTTCTTCTTGGAAAGCTCTAAAGTTGGGTGCTCGTATCTCCTCGTCGTCGTGCAACCGCGTTGACGAGGGCGGAAATGAGGCGATGAATCAGCCCCGTTGGATCCGTTTGTCGCGTTCCAAGAGCCGGGCGGGTAAAAAAGTAAACAAAGACGCGGAAAAAGGAGGAAAATTTAATCAATGTTTACGCTGCTCGCGGCTCTACGCTGAGCGACGTCGTCGTTTGTCTTGGCCGGCGTGTAACCGGGACACGCGGAACCGCGAAACTTTCATTTAACGGACGAATAAATCCATTTGTTCGTTCGGCAGAACTTTCCGCCGCTAATATTCCGTCGGGCCGGCCATTCGTTACGTCCCGCGCGTCGACGTTCGTTTTCGTCGCCGTTGCTTCCGCGCGGAAAGTTTTCTTCGCTCAACTCGGAGTGAACTGGACACGATCCGACCGCGAGAAGTATCGCTCGCTAATGTCGAGGGTCGAACGATACGCCGACGGATAAAAGCGAGACCGGAAGCGACGGCAATTATTCAGTCGAGCGGTCGGCTCGGGTCAATTGTCCCGATTGCGTCGACAGGAAAGCATGCACAGACGCATTAACTCTTTAGTTGGTATGAAATCGTACATCGCGGCGTTGTAGCTGTTCCAACTGTAATTTCTATGCGAAGAAATATTCTTTGGAACAAACTGAATCGAAAACGTGGAATACAATTTTCCTCTACGAGGCTTCGTTTCGGAGAAAATCGATCACGAATATCGGTAACTGCGTTTGGAGTGCTCGGCGCCCCAAACATTTCTCAAACCTGATTCTCTTCGAAACTAGCGCTCGTACGAAAAAATTTCACTACACGTTTCTGATTCAATTTTTCACGTAGAATCGTCCATACAAAGTTTGTTCCGCATTTATTTCCCCCCTTAACAAATACCGTAATAAATTAAATTCTGGACTCGATGGAACGCGTTGCAAATGAGACGTCCTCCGCCATTAGTTCGAGGGATTAGCCCCCTCCCGTTTCCCGATGGTCCCGGATCGCGAACGAAGTTTCCTCCGGTCGGGAAAGTTTTCAGCTCGGAGTTCCCCGCGGGGAAAATAAAAATCGCGGGAAAGTTCCGGGTCGACGCGTGAGGATTTCGTGAATTTCAAGCGTCTTCCTTTTTAAAAGTGGCGAAAGAAGTTCCGGAACGTGACCATCGTTGCGGAGGAGATTTTCAAAAACTAACCGACCGTGTTCCCTCGCCTGCAAGCGGTCGTATTTTTCCCGCTGGAACGGTAAACTACTTTTCGGAGAAATTTCGCGTTCCGCGGACGAGGATGAAAGCGTTCAGCGATACCGATAAAATTCCCGGTATTAACGAAGTTTGTAGATTTATTCGGATTCTATCGATACTTTCTGATTCCATATACCCCTATTGGCATTTCCGTATTTTTTTTAGAATTTATTTTAATACGACTTTCGGGAATGAATGGATTATCTCTGAGACGCTCGTAAAATATCAAAGATTAAACACATTTCGAAACTTTCGGCTGGATAATTGATGCTCCCCTGTTCGATCAAACTTCGTCGGGCAGAACAACGTTTAACAACAAAACGTTGTTACGCGTTGCAATAATTTATGGCCGTATTCTTCGTGAAAGTTCGTCGGGCTCCGCGAGCGCACTCTTCTCCCGAGAGCACACGATAAAAAGAACGAGATGTTTAATTATCTTTTTATCTCGCCCTTGAGGTGCATCGCGAGATTGCGTTTCAACTGTGCTCTCTGAGATTTACTATCCACTCGTTCCGGTGGATACAACTTGTTTCCGAATTAAAACGCTAAACTGGGCCAGCGTGCATCGCGAAGAAACGGTGAAACAGATTTCGTTTAATTCCATCGACGCATCGTAAAGTTTTAACAAGATACCTATCTCGCTTTCATTTTTTTAATAAAATTGCAATATCGTTGTTCTCGAAAGATAAAATTGAAATTCGCGAACGTCGTCGTCGTATTAGCCTTACGAAACCGGAATTTCGGCAGAACGACACCCTATATAGAATGGGTCGGACACTTAGGCGAATCTACGTGCTAAAGTGAGACGAAAACGTAGAATACGATTTTTTCGTATCGTGTCTCGTTTCCGAGATAATCGAATTTAAAAACTAGCGGAGCACGCGTCTGACCAATATGTGCTATTTCTACTTGCATCGATGTTCAAGTCGTTCCCCACTCGAACCATTTATATTGTCAACATTAATTCTGCGTACAGTTTCGCATAATGTCTGACCGTACCACCCATCCATGCCAAATTTCAGATTTCGTGATTGCATTTGTAATTGTATCCGATTTAGTTGGCATGTCCGACCATTATTGCCTGTTTCTACTTGCGGCGATATTCAGTCGCACTCCATTGCGAGCGTTCCCCATAAATTTTCAGAATGGAATCTCTTACGAACGAAGCATCGTACAAATAAATTTCCTTCTACATTTTCGACTTACATTTGCACCCAGATTCGCCTAATGTTCGGCCAAATTGGACAATTTATCGAGCACGCGTGTAATCGCATCCGATTTGGCTGGCCCGTCTGTCCATTATTCACTGTTTCTACTTGCGTCTATGTCTAAGTCGCACTCCATTGCAAGAGTCTCCCATTAAATTCCGAAATCCATTTCCTCGTAAAGCGTAATACAAATAAATTTCATTCTACATTTTCTACTCATTTTTGCATATAGTTTCACTTACAACTCGGTTATAGCACCCATCCATGCCAAATTTTGATATATGTCGAGTACGCTTGTTTCTACTTACAAGATCCCGTTGCACGCGTGCGCCATAAATTTTTCATATCGAGTTTGCCCGAAAACGAATCGCTATACGAAAAAATTTTATTCTACACTTTCGACTTAGTTTTGAACGCGGAATCGCTTCGTGGCCGGTTCTACCATCCATCCCGGCTAAATTGGACAATTTATCGGGCACATTGCGTCCGATTTGGCTGCCGCTTCTGTCCATTACTCACTGTTCCTACCCCTGGTGATGTCCGAGTGGGTGCTCCGTTGCAGGCGTTCCCCGTGAATATTCAAAACCGATTTTCTCGAAAACAAAGCATTATACGAACAAATTTTATTCTACGTTTTCGATTTATTTCGAAATGTAGATTCGCCTAATGCTCGGTCGTACCGTCCATTCTGGCCAAATTGGACAATTTGTCCCGTAAAATCGAATACAATGCTAGCCCGTCCGACTATTAATCGCTATTTCCATTTACGCCGAACACGTGCCCCATAAATTTTCAAAACCATTTTTCTCGAAAACAAAGCATCGTAGAAAAAAATTCCGTCTCACATTTTCGATTCATTTTTGAAGACAAACCCGCCTAATGGCCCATAAAATTCAAAAGTCATTTTTCTCGAAAACCAACCACCGTGGAAACAATTCTATCTCACATTTTCGACTTGTTTTCGCACGTAGAATCGATCAGTGTCCGGTTGGGCTGCTCGTCGGGGTGCACCCTGTACACTCGGAGTAACGTGTTCCCCCCGGGGACTAATGGTTTCTCGCAGCACACGTGCAGCACGAACCTCTCCGTTCACCGGCGGCTTTGAGAATCGGACGATTACTATTTCACCTCTTTCCTTTCAGGGCGATGATGTAACGGGACTTTCGCTGTCGCTGCAGTGTAAGCAACGATGTCCACGCAATGCAGCCGCTTCGTGCAGAACGCCTGGAAGAAGGAACTCTGTTCGAACTGCTTCAAGCTGCGAGAGGAGCACACGCTGCCGGAAGAGACGCTCAGGCTGAACATCGGCAGGGCTTTGACGCACGTCAAGACTGATAATATTAAGATACAGGTAAGTCGGGACGTTTGCACAGAGTCTCTGTTGCGGGGATTCCGCAGGAGGCTCTTTCTTTATACACAGAACCTTTTACATGTATTAGGATGATGGCCAGTTCGCGTTAAGTGGTCCAAGTTAGTTCGAAACTTTGAAAGTTGGACGATGTTTAGGAATATTTTTTCTCTAATACTATCAGACGTGCCCGTTTCAAATTTTGTACGCGAATTTGGGAACTAACGAGGAATTTTTTAAATTATAAATAGTCGATTTAGTAGAAGCAATACGCAAAGAGAGAAGTTGATTTGTACCATGGATTTTGAATCAGTTAAGAGCGAAATATTACAATTGTTTCGTAAAAAGAAAAGTTTGGAAGTTATTTGTAACGGTGCTCACCGTCCGCCGTAAAAACAATTTAACCAGTACGTACAAGCCCATAGAATCTAATGAAACCGTGTCGCGCGGTTTATTCGGGCGACAGAGAAATAAGAAAGAAATTGCCAGATGCGACTTGGGAAAGGGAAAGTAACGGGGCAAAAGTTTCGAGAAATTGCGGAATGGTGGAGCGCGGTCGCAATTTTACCGTGGCGCGTAAAAAGTCTATTGGACATCGGTGTAACATGCATTACAGTTCGCGCAGTTGCACATAAATTCTCTTCTTACCGCGAGCCAGGGGCATCCCCGACGAGCGGAAGCATGCACCGGGTCTCTAAGCGCCAGTACCTTTTACTCGGACGACCCAGTTTTACAAACTTGATACGGCGATCAATAATGCTGCGCGATTCGTGGCACAGAAGTTCCTAACAATTTTACGCGGGCCTACCGATGTTGATGAAACGCCTAGGAACCGGGCGTCGATGTTGATCTGAACAGAAATTGTCGATCTCGAAGTATATTCCGATGATGGGATCGATATGTTGAAAATATCGAGTCACTGAAGACGTACCTTCAACGTGTTGATGGTGTCGATGTTGAATGATGTACTAACATGTTTGTAAGATCAATATGAAGGGGCGTACTGCCAGAGTTTTGATGATATCGAGTCACCATAGACATATCTTCAACAGGTTGATGGTGTTGAAGTTCAAAGATGTATCAAAAACGTGTTTATAAGATCAATATTACGGGACAAATGGATAGGGTGTTGATGATATCAAAGTTATCAAAGTACCGACAGTATGTTGATGGTATCGATCTTCAATTACCATTCGAAAGGATATTGATATAAATATCACAGAACTTACCAATAATAAGTTGATAGTATTAATGTCAGAGGATTCCTCAACAGATATCGATGGTATCAATTTGATACATTCTATCGACAGAATTTGGACAGCATCGATGTTCTAAGGTACGATTATATTAATCCTGCCCATATCAGAGAACATTTCTGTCATTCTATCAACATGTTGATGCTGTTGATGGCAAATGATGTTACAATATCGAAGAGGACTTTAACCCAGTGCTGGTTTTCTCGCGTTTCCAAACGGTTCTTGGTCAATTTTCTATCACGCGCCGTTGATAACGGGTACGCATAGTTACCCTAACTTTGTCGTTTCCGGTTTCCGCGACTACCGCCGGCTCCGGAATGCTAATCAACGCGCCCTGCCGCTTGATCTTGCTCGCGAGCGTATCTCTGCTAACCCAGTTTCGCGTTTCGCGACTATACTTGTCACAGAGCTGGTTTTTCCACGCGTTCCGGAGATCATTACCAATCACTGATCCGATTTCCCTGGCCGTTCCTGTAATTCGATCGGAGCCACCATCTTGGGAATGTCGCGGGAGTCTCCTCAACGGTGAACTTCAACTTTTTGACCTCAAAGTAGTTTCTATTTTCCAGCCTTTCCAAATTACATTTGAAATAGCTCATACCAATTCGAATTATGGAACCAAGTATTCCAGATTGCTTCTATCTGATATCTGAGGTCTGTAAGTGTTTTATCTCCTCCTCCAACGCTGTTTAATATAATTTAAACTCGAAGAACAGCCGAGGGTGAGATCTTTGTACGGACAAAGTTGTATAAATCACCCCGTAGTGTCTGAAAGAAGAAGAAAAAACGTCTAGTCCCGGCTCGTCAGAGTTAATATTCCATTCAGCTTTCAAGTTGAATCGCAGCAAGACGCACTCATTGTCAAGGAATTCTAAATTTACATGGTGCATGCGTCCACGTCGCGCGGCGACAAGGGTGAACGCTTAATCGTCTGACGCGCGCCATCGTCCGTTCTCCGGGAGGGTGGGCGTCATTCAACGAGGGCACGTGGTCGCGTTTCGAACGAAACCAGCTTCCACCCACGTGAGAAATATTTTTAAAACGCCGCCACGTCTTTCTCGTCGTGTGAAAAACTGCTGGAGGGAACGCAGTTCGAGTACGTCGATGCTTTTCGGGACCTCAGCGTGCGAATTATAAAAACAACTGTCTCTTTTATCCGATATAACGGCGCGACAGCGAAATAGAGACGAGAAATTCGAGCAGCATAATGCTCAGAACGATACCAGAGGACGAAATAGCGACGCGGAAACTCGCCGCGAAAGAATTCGCGGAGTCATTTCCACGGGAACATTCCTAGACCCGATTCGCTGACTCGTCGTGAAATTCGACAGTCGCTGGCTTGCATCAGCGTTTTATTTCCACGATATTTACGTTTCCAGAAGCTTCCTTTGATAAATTATAAATCTTCTTTATTTTAGAGGAGGTTTCTAGGAACTCGTAATTACAATTTATTATTATTCCTGAAGACGACTAGAAAGATGAATGAAAATACTCTATTTAAGTCCAAGATACCACGCCACTGGTCTATCCTAATTCGTGCCCGTTGATCGAGCTTCCCCGAACGTCAAGAAATTTTGAAGCCCGGGGCAAAATTAAGACCGACCCGATACTCTGGTGAATAATTCAACGGTGCCTTTCATTAATGCCAGTTGACCGTCCCGAAAGTTTTCACGGGGAAAAACAGTCTTTTCTCGCCAGCTGGCGTCCATTTAACTTCGGTCTGAACTTTCATTTCCTGGCAGCCAGCGATAAGGCGGTCGCCCGTCAACGCAGAGCACAAGGACCCCTTAACCAGAACCCGAATAGAATTTCTTCCGAGCCCGAATGAATTATCAACCCGGATTACCAGGGGATATAGGCGGCTCGGACGATTATAACTTGGCTAAGCCGTCGCTAGGTTCCGTCTCTCTGTCCATAGGCGTCGAATAGCGATATTTAATTCCTCCACGTTTCCCAAAATAGGACGCTAAGCTTTCAATAACTATAATACAGCAGAGTTCCGATTATCTGGCACCCGGTTTATCGAAATGTCCGATTAATCAGCATATTTACCCCACTATTTTTCGATAAATTTCAAATCGTTCTAAACAAATTATTTTCAGTTACAAGGATCAATTACAATCATTTTTGGTGAATACACATACCCTCGAAATCCTATCCATTTTCGAGAAAAAAATTCGAGTAGGTGCTTAAATTTTTCGACGAAAGAAAAGATTCTGAATCGTTTTGAAAAAATTATTTTCAGTTGCAGGGATCAATTACAATTATTTTTGGTGAATAAACATACCCTCGAATTCCTATCCACTTTCGAGAAAAAAATTCGAGTAGGCGCTTAAATTTTTCGACGAAAAAAAAGATTCTAAATCGTTTAGAAAAAATTATTTTCGGTTGCAGGGATCAATTGTAATTATTTTTGGTGAATACACATACCCTCGAAATCCTACCCACTTTCGAGAAAAAAATTCGAATAGGTGCAATATTTTTCGACAAAAGAAAAAGATTCTAAATCGTTTTGAAAAAATTATTTTCAGTTGCAGGGATCAATTACAATCATTTTTGGTGAATACACATACCCCCGAAATCCTATCCACTTTCGAGAAAAAAATTCGAGTAGGGGCTTAAATTTTTCGACGAAAAAAAAGATTCTAAATCGATTTGAAAAAATTATTTTCAGTTGCAGGGATCAATTACAATTATTTTTGGTGAATACACATACCCTCAAAATCCTATCCATTTTCGAGAAAAAAATTCGAGTAGGGGCTTAAATTTTTCGACGAAAAAAAAGATTCTAAATCGATTTGAAAAAATTATTTTCAGTTGCAGGGATCAATTACAATTATTTTTGGTGAATAAACATACCCCCGAAATCCTATCGACTTTCGAGAAAAAAATTCAGGAAGGTGGACAAATTTTTTGACGAAATTAAAAATCGAAGGATAATATTTCGACGATTAAATTTCCAATAAATTTTATAAAATTGAATAAAAATGACTAATATCTAACAACTCCCGTCGTTTTCAGGGCATCCTCCGCGCCAGGACGTCCAGCCATAAAGAGCAGAAGAAGAAGAGCGTCGCGTTCCCGGAATGCCTGACGGTGATAATCGGCTACGGTGGCGATGACCTGCCCTCCGACACCGAGGAGGACGACGAGCAGGACTTCGTGGAGTCGTTCAACGACGACGACGCGGTGCCCGACAGCGAGGAGGAACGAGCCCTTGGGAACCTGACGCGGGCCAACACCAGCTTCAACACGATCACCGCGAACCTGACGGAGGTAGTGCCGGCGCCAGAGACGAGCAAGTCGTCGGCGGCGTCGAGATCCTTCGCTTCCCTGATGCTGGGAAGGATACAGAAGGACTCGGAGGGCAAGAAGACCACGCTGCTGGTCTCGGTGACGCCGTTCGGCGGCGACGAGTCTGTGCCCACGGCGAAGAGGCCCAGCGACAAGAAGATCAACGGGTTCGTCAACGGGTTCTCCAGTCCGTCCAAGCACAAGCCCGCCGAGAGCATCGATAAATCCGAGGTCAGTAGATCCTGTTCGCAGCGGTGCCCGTCGCTTCGACCGTGAACTTAAACGGACGTTCTTGCAGATAACGCTGAAGAGCGTGAAGAAGACGGACGTCGAGGCCAAGAGGGACGAGAGGAAGGAGCAGAAGCGTCCCATGGGCATGGAGAAGATCGCGGACATGCCTCTGATCGCGTCCAGCAATTTCGTCTCTGTCGTCCAGAGGGACTCCGGCGACTTCGACGACGCGAAGGAGAAAACGATCGAGGCTGGCGTGGAAAACCCCGAGAGGATCCTGGAGCTGGGCAAACCGGACAAGAGGATCAGCGTGCCCCGCTGTTCGATCAAGAAACCAGATTCCGACAAGTTGAAAGTCTCCGTGCTGGGTTCTCAGAACTATACCAAGGTCGATTACGAGCTAGCCGGACCGACCAAGAGGTCCCCGGAGATCTTCGGGTCGAAGCACGGCGGATCGAACAGGGGCATCGAGTTGACGTTGACGCCTCTGTCGAAGCACGACAACGAGAAGCCCGAGAGCGACAGGTCCATGATTCGCGAACAGGATAAGATCACGGTGACCGCCAAGAACGAGGATTCTCCAAAAGCGTGCACACCGGAGAGTGCAAGGACGGAGAAGAAATTCAGTTTCGAGGAGAGTCGCGAACTGGCTGGCGAACCCGACGGGAGAGCGGACGAGGAGGAAGTGACGGAACCACCCGCGCTTCCGAGAAGCCCGCCACCCGTCGAAACTAGGCCTTCTTTTCAGACAGAGAGCCACAACAAGCTGTCAGTTATAGCTACGGAGCCACGACCGTCTTTCCTGCATGGGGCAGTCCATCAGGAGCCCAAGGTCAAGCCAGCGGTGCCCCAAAAGCCGGTCAATTTCTCATCTAAAAGTAGTGGGCCGTCGGACGGAAACGTGCAGACGAAGAAGGACTACGTCCTGCCACCGCCTTCGGTTCAAAATGCTGGCAAACCTGCTCAAACTTCGGGTGAGAAGATTTTTCTTTACGTAGGAAACTTTGGGTTTCGTTAGGTTTGACGTGGATTATCTAGGATGTCGTAAAAGGATAATCTTTTCGAATTATGGACATAATATTTAAGTCGTATGATGTGTTCGTTTGTTTGTAATTGAGTTCGTGGGATTAGTTTAAGTATCCTACATGGATAATCGCAATATTTTCCCCCATAATTAACAAACAACCACCCCGTGCAATTATTCTCTCAACCAGAGTTTAAACCTCCCCATTACGTCGAGGACCGTTCTAATCCCGATCGCACGACGCTACGCGTTCAGATTTTCACGCGATACTACAAAGGAGATCGCGCGACCGAGAGCTAAGCCATCCTCAGTAATTAATAGAAACGAGCCACGGGGAGCTTCCAATTATCACCGTTCGCTATTAATTCTCAGGTACGAGTCTCCCTACGCGAGACACAAGTCCCACCCGACCAACCGCCAAAGACAAGACCGAGGAGCCTCGAACTCCAACTCTCGAGCAGGGTCGCGGGCCGTGCGACGAGATTGCTCCGAAGGAGGACCATCGGGTCAGCCAGATCCCGCGGAGTGTCGGCAAGTTCGCGTGCCAGGAATTCGAATTGTTAACGAAACCGTCGGAGTCGAGGATACCTCAAGTAGCCAAGGGGAAGGGTTCTTTGAATATGGCCAGGGGTCAGACCGCGGACGGCGGGGACAACGAAACCCTGGCGGTCGAGGAGGACCTCCAGGATGTTCAGTGCGCGTCGACGGAATCGATACGTTCGCCGAGCAAAAGAAGAATGGCCCCGAAACCACCGGCGTCGGATATCGTTGAAGAATTAACACCCAGCGCCTCGTTGTTCGCCAGGAATCCTGGGGCTACCTTCAAGTCGGACTCGCCGGTGGTCCGCGAGAAGGAGAAGAGGGAGAGGGCGTCGTCTTGCAGTCCAAAGTTCAGGAAGGCCGTCTCGGAGTTGCCTGACCCCACGACCGCTCAAACGGTGGATCCGGCGTCGAGGAGGACGATATCTCTGTCGCAGGACAGCCTGACGACCAGTCAAGAGGTCAGGGAGGAGAAGAAGAGAAGCAGATCGCGTTTCTCTTTGAAGAGATTCCTCAGAATGGGCTCGAGGAAGGACGTGGACATGGTCGGGCACTCGGCCAGTTCGAGGATCGATGAGATCCCGACCACGCCGCAGCCGAAGCCGCGATTGGAGATCATTCATCCGCTGGAACTGGACGGCGCTGCCGTCGAGGTGGTGGGGAACGATCGGATCAGCAGGATAGGCGAAGATCAACCTGATTCCTGCGGTTCTAGAAACGACGCCGCTAGAGGAACTCGATCGCCGTTGTCCACGGGAGCCCACGCGGCCGGTGAGCCTCCTTTTTGATACTCGATCGCCGCACAGAGGTTTATTCTTGGAACAATAGAATATCTGGAGTCTTGGGTTTCACGCAGTCGCGATTTCCCCGTGGACTGATATCCCCTTTGGTATCTAATTAACGGGATGCCTTGAGGGTATCGACAGAAATGAGCGCTGGTAAAGGACAAGTATTGATTTGCAAATAATTTACGAATATTTATCGCGTGGAATACTTTTAATTTTATTTAAGTTTGTCCATCGAATGCGGACGCTAAGCAAAATAAAGAATTTTAGAATGGCCAGAACAGAGTGGCGAAGACTCATGACACAATTAGGTGGAGGATCGTGTAAAAATAAATTAAAGACGTAGAGACTATTTTTATCAAATCATTTTTGTTCGCCTCGATGGGTGGTACGTGTCCCAGACGTTTTATATACCTACCCATGATTTTTTCCGTGTATTGTCCATGGCCATATTCCCTGCAGAGACGATTAGGCGGACACGGACCACCATCGTGTCCAGCGGCCAGGGTCTTTAATTCTCCCGAACCTCGTGATAAAATTACAAGCCTCGTAGCGTAGCTTTAATATTCGACGTGACGTTGCAGTGAGACCCGGAAAACCACCCCCACCGCCGAGGAACCAGTCCTTGGAGGATTGGTCGCGACTGGATCCAGTGAGCAAACCGGTCAGACCACCGCCGCCGCGCGTCGAGACCAAGCAACTGCCGCCGAGAAGCGACAAGTCGTCCACCTCGTCGTCCTCCTCGTCGTCGTCGTCGTCGTCGTCCTGGCAGCCGACAGCCTCGACGACCTCAGACTCGATTTACGCGAATCTGGGTAAGTTCAGGCCCATACAATGTAACTAATGAAACCACGGCAAGTCTCGATGTTGTAACAGCCATACTCACACGAATCCTCGCGCCAGCTGCTTCCTTGCGAATTATTTCTTGCGTGTATGTACGTCTGGTGACAAAAATTCGCGTCAATTCAAGGGCACCAGGCCCAATCTGCCCCCATCTTTGCCCCTTCTCCTTCTCCTCTCGCGTCACGTGGTTAGCGGCTGCGCAGTATCATTACTCCGCTGACCGCTCGACGGACAACATCAATCTCTCGAAACATACTTCAGTTACAAGTCTTCTTTGATAAATTATCTTTATTATCATTGTTGATTTAAATTTTGGAACTGCACTCGCAGCGTTCTATTTCAAAGTGACTTATATCATAAAAATTTAAATATATGTTAAGTTTTGGAGGACTCGAAGTGCTCCGTCGCGCGGTCACCGATGTAATGACACTGCGCATCTGTGTCGCGCAACGTCCACGACCGAGGAGAGGAGGGGGTAGTGTCCAGCGTGTTGCATGCTCCCGAGTTGGCATAAATTTTTGTCACAACGTGTACGTCTGATCTGGAACGATCCTGTAACACTGGATAAACGGTGATTAACTCTCACCTATTCACTCTATAATACGTTCATTTTTTTTTCGTTCTTCGTTTCGCCGAGTCGACGTGCGATCGTCGTGAAGTTTGGCATTTATTAATAACTTACGTTACTTCTTTTTTTTTAAGTATTGTCATTAATCTTCTCGCGTTCGACGACGAGCGAGATAGCGCTTCGAATAACGAGACAAGATAATTAGAAAACTAATCTCGTTCGAGCCGCGATGCAGTCAACATTATGATACTCTTTATCTATCTCCTAACTATGCTAATATGCCATACGCGTTTTTATACTATGCGACTAATCTTTCGAGAGACTATTACCCTGTTTTTTTTTTTTTCACGACTAACTTTCAGAGTTATTATACGAATATTCACGATTTTTCTGTGATACGTCTTATTTACCATGTTACTGTGCACCGACGGCGACGGAATCGAACGCGACGTCGCGGTCGTTCTGCCAATTCGCATATTTTCGATACAGAAATTTTTCGTTTTTTTTACCGTTGGCTTCGAGACACGCCTCACGCGAGGCACGAGTGCGATCGAAAGTTTGAGAATGGCTGGCTGGACGATAGAAAGTATAGCAATTGCAACGATAGAAAACGACGTGTCTTTGAAATGCGATACTACTTGTTACGAGTCGACGCGCACCGTTTTGTAAATAGAACGAAAGCAACGATGATTCTGTAACCACGAATTTCTGTGTCTGAAATAAACGTTTGTTGCCTGAAAAAATATACCACGAGAGTTTTCTTGGCCACGCGACGCATACGATCTGTTCGTTGCACCCGGTCACGATCGTGTTTTGTCCTCCTCATGACGAACGAACGGAAGCCTCGACGATGCGAAACGACGAAGCGAAAAATAAAAATTAATAATGAAAACGCACGATCAATTCCTTTGATGACTGTTATTGGATCGCGGTCGTTTGACGTTCGCTCGGTTCGATATGGGTCTGCTTCATCGTTAACCGCATGCACCGATGAGACTGCGTTCAGAGACATCTTCTTTCTCGATCATCCGCCATTTCTTTCGTTCCCCTGTTCCCGCGTTTCGCGATTTCTTCGTCCATCGGGTCGGTGGCGCGTCGTTGTTTGCAAAGGCAGACTTATCAACGACCATTTGGACACCTTCGTCCTCCCTTCGTTCCTTCCCAGCCCCTCAACACGGAACAAGAAATCGATTCCGCTTTGCTCGACGGTCGACGCGGCCGGGGTGGGCAGAGGCGGTTGCCTCTTCTCGTTTCCGGCTTTCTGTAAATAGTAAACACGTTGGTCTAACGTTCGACCGCGGTACCATTGTGTTACGGAAGGTTTCCTTAAACGTCCCTGGGTGCAACTAACGCCGCATGTATTGATTGCATATTAGCATCGTGTTTCCCCCCTTTGGTCGAGCCTCGATAACGAATGCCTGCCAATTCCAGGATTCCCGATGATTGCGCAGGAACTCCGAGCGGCACTTAATTCGACGTGTTTCGCTCGGAATTTACAGAACTCTATCGAACCCTTTAGCCGTGTGATTACTTGAGTCGAGGATGCTCGGCGTGCCTTCTATCTCGAGCAAAGTTCGCGTTTCGTTCGTGAATCCAGAATCTGGGAACACGAGTTAAAGGGATTTATCGTGTCATTTTCCTCTGGAAACACTTCGCTTTGATCTCTCGATGCCCATCCACCCGATCGTCCCGTTGGCAGACGCAGAGAAAAATACTCGCTTTGATCGTCCATTCTCGATTTCACGGCGAAAATTAGTCGATAGTGTCTCCGATTATCGCGACGACGGGGGCGCGTATCTCGACCTGCGAGCGCGTCCTCCCTCTAGCAATGAAAACCTGCTCACCGGCGGGTCTCTAGAGTATACTTGGAACGAATCTCGTCCTCCTAGCACGCTAGTTACGGTAGCTAGCCTGTTTCGTGACATGCCTTGTGTCTTGTGGTACTAACCCGTGGCGCTTGACGATGGCGTACGTGCCTGCAGCAGCGGAGGATGTTACAGGTGAGGTGCGCAGCTCGTTGGCACCCTCGAAACCTCAACGTACCGCCAGCATGAGGGACCAGGCTACCTCGCAGCCGATCGTCAAGAAACACGGCGCTTCCAACTCGGCCCTCAATCAGGATTACGAGGCCGTAGCTGTTACCGTGCCACCCACGTCCGATTCTCTGGTAATGGCCTTTTAACGATTTTTATGGAGGCCTGGAAAAGGTGCAGGTAGCTGCTCGAGAGGTAAGGTGTTCAAGAATTCAAATGCTCAATGGTGTTCTAACAGTTAACACTTGGAGACCTGGGGTTCCTAGGTGGAGTTTCATTGGGCTGTAGTAGCAAGAATGATTCCTGACCCCCAGAATCTTATGTCGAGAGGAGTTAGGCCAATTTTCTTAAAAGATGGTAATGAGAATAGTTGGGCTAGTTATTCCAGGTTCAAGATCCTTTTGGTGACCTTACTCCTTGACTCTAATCCTGGGGGAGTTGTGTTATATTAAACATACAAAGACTAGGGTCTAGCAAGTCACCTAGACTTAACAATGAGGACCCAGTCATTCCAAGTCTAATCCCCTGGTACTGATCTGTTAAATCAAGACTATCTAGACTGAATCCATCTAACCAAAGAGCACATTTGCCTGATGCCACAAGGTACACGAGAATCGTCAGGTCCAGATAGACCAGGCGATAACGTATGCAGATCACGTAACAGGTCTTGAATTCTTGAACACCTTAGCCTCGATCTGTATATCTTGCGAAACGGTTTCGGGATCAAGGTGCCGTTGCTGATGGTAGAGATATCGACCACAGGGTAGAGCAAATCTTAACTGCATCCGAATTTAGAATCAATCTCAAAACTAACGGCGATCTTGGTCCCCGATCGGGTCGCGCGTCAGTCGTCGTTAACGGGGAAATCGCTAATCCGAACCGGTTCTGCCCGATCTCTTTTCTTTTTCCAGACGTCTAACGACAGTCATGTTTACGAGTGCCTTTCCAGCTCGCCGGAATGCGATTCGAATCTCGAGCTACGGCACGGGGGCGTGTCTCATCTCACCTGCAAGCGGAAATCGGACAGCAACGCGATGGAGCCGGCTGCGGAATTCAAATTCCATCATCAGACGTTCGTCAGGTCGACGTCGCTGCCGTATTGCGGTAGCGAGACCGAGAGCGAACTTTACGCCCCGTACGGTTTTTACACCGGCGACGAGGTACGATTCCTGTCGTCGCGTTGCATGAAATACCAAGGCGCCACGAAAAATTCTTTCGAGTTCGGTGGAAAATACGTGGTCAATTCTGAGGAAATACACGGCCCGTGTTTCCCTCGACAACTTTCAAATAATCGCTTGAAAAAATTCCTACGGTTCACTGAAACATCGATAAACGTGCATACAAAATTTGAAGTCGATAGGTTTGGTAGTTTTCTCAAAAAAAATTCCGAAAGATTATCTCGTTTCTCGAGGCTATTGTCCCCACCACAGCTCTCATAGAACACGCTTAGTCGAGAGCGGAGTGGGGAGAGCCCGCTCGACGGCCTTCAGCGGCCAATTCCTTTCACTCAGTCGTTCGCCCACAACAGAACTTGTTGCGTCTCGGTGGTCTTGAAAATTTAATTTTATTATTTCCGACGGTATCCGGCGAAAGTTCTCGGACGGTGCTTTTCTTATTTAATAAAGTGGCCGGGAAACAATTTCGCTTCGGGATAGCTTTATCGGCCGCGCGGAATTTTTTATGGAATCTTTAAAACGCAGGGCCCCGAGGAGGATCAGGACTGGAAGAGCAAGGACGACGAGCTGAGGATAAGCCGATTGAGGCAACGCAGGGGTCGCAGCATAGTTCATCGGAGCCTCGAGGATAATTACGGCGCCGTGGTGGTTGCGAATCACGAAGCGCTGGCGCAGTTCCTCGACCAGGTATGTATTCCTCGACTCTTTCGCGATTTGTTGCCACGGGAAGTTCCGTTCGAGAGCCAATAGTTCGCTAGTTTCGCGTGACTGGATATAACGATGTTCGTTAACGTATCGCGTGCCAAACCAATTTCTCAAACGTTCCCTCGGAGCCCAACTCGATACTCATCATGATTTTTCGCTTCTATTCAGCGTGTGCTGTACAAGGTGATCCGCAAAAACGAACCAACATTAAAATAGTAGAAGATTACAAAGTGGTACTATTAGAAATGGAAATTTATTTCTTTATTCTGTAATAGGGTCTCCGGTTACAGGGGGCTAACAAACTATTTTCCAGTTAATTTTACTCTGTTCCAACTTTTCTTTACATCAAGCATCGTAAATGGATTGCACGGTGAAGTTAATATTTTCCGACGGGGTAATTTCGTTTTCGTTCCGCGCAGGGATGGTCCGACTTAACGCGTTAAATCGCGAGGCGTCGAAAACTTTATGCATGAGAAATGCATACATTTCCGTGGTACGGATCTGTTGCAGCTGAACCAAACTCCTCAAGTGCCGGCGGGGCTGCGAGCCCTGAAAAATACGAATCCCCGTCTGAGCCACTTCAGCATCGATACCAATACGTCGATCGCCGCGGGTAGACGAATATTTTACTCGGCGACGTGGAACGAGCTGAACATCACCCTCTGCGTCGCCTTCGATCTGGCCACACACGTGTCAAGGAAGGAATTTTATTTGGCACCTATAATCGAGTTTATAGACAGCGTACCGAAGGAAATTACCGACAAGACGTGTCTGCCCGGGAACAAGCAACTGGAAGGTACTTTTCGTCGACTTCCATTTTCCTCTTCCTTCGCGCCACCCACACCCTTTCATACAACGTACCGAAACCGTAAATAGTTGTTCGATATTGCCTCTGGACGGTCTATGCTCGTTTTAAAAATTTCTCTCGCGATCGTCAAACATTTTTGTTTACATTGCCATAAACTCTAACGTTGAGGGCGTAACTCGCCATGAGTCGAGAACAAGGTCTTCGAGCTTAGAGTCTATAGTGGCTCGAGAGTTAATTTGTCGAGATAGAAACGATTTAGTGGGAGTCAGTCTCTGGATTAGGATCGAACATTGAAGGAAGTTGCGTTCCCCGTTTCCAGCGACCATTTCCGTTCTGCCCCGGCTGCAAGTGAGCACGATACAATCGTTCGGGGTGGCGACGAGGGGTATGCACGACGAAGGAACAGTCAGAGAAGCCTCTTTCGTGCTTCTTCAATTCGTCACCGCGCTGAAGAGCCTCCAGGCGCGCGGAATCGAGGAGTCGGCGAGGAGTCTGAACAACTTGGTTCTGTGCAGGGAGGACAAGGACGCCTATTACAGGCTTTATCTTCTTCAGGGGTCGGTAAACAAGTCGAAGAGGCGCGTCGGGTTGGGAATTGGTTTGCTCATTGTTCGGTTACGTTTCGCAGATTGAACGTAGACACGAACGAGGAACGGGAGGAGGAGAGGGTGTCGTTGTGCCAGTGCGCGTTAGTGGCGCTTCAGCAGCTGAATCTGACGAGTAGGCTGCCATTGATTCAGGAATTACTTATGAGGGAGAAGGCCGTCACTCTGTCTCAGGTACGAATAGGTATTAAGCAGGCAATCAACGCGCGTTCGACTAGCTCTGAGCAATCGGATAATGGGGTAGTCGAAGTTAAATGGCGCCCGTGTGCCCTTCAAAATTTTTGGTCATTAGACATACCCTCGAAATCCTACCTACTTTCGAGAAAAAAATTCGAGGTGTGAAATTTTTCGGCAAAATTAAAAAATTTCAAATTGTTCTGGAAAAATTATTTTTGGTTGCAGAGGACTATTATAATCATTTTTGGTCATTAGACATACCCTCGAAATCCTACGCACTTTCGAGAAAAAAATTCATTACCGAAAAATGTATTGTCTGACCATATGGTATGGATGTTTCCCTGAAATTTCATGCGAATCTTTAAAATGTCATAACTTCTGAACAGATTGGGGGATTTTAATGTTTCAAGAGGCAAACAACGCGTATTTTAATGGAGAATATGTAGAAATTCCAAAATTAGTCGAAAAGTTGTTTCTTGACCCCGTAAAATAAGGAAAACCACATAAGACTGGTCCAATTTTCAAACGACCATAACTCCTACAATAGTGAATATATTTCAATGAAACTTTTTTTTGAAGTAGAGCTCATGGGTACCTACAAAACAATATTAAACAACTTTTTCGTACAGCATCGAACAAATTTATTAAAAATCAAAAACGAATTTTTATAACGAAAAAAAAAAGTTTCAAATCATTCTGGAAAAATTAAATAAAATGGCATGTCTGCATATTTCACGTTGAGTATCCTTTTTATTAAATATTAGTAACTAGATTGTGGATGTTTATGCATTTATTGAAGTAAGATACAAATTATTATATTTAGGGGTTGAGACGGTCCTCTGCAAAGCTTCCATTTCATTAATTCTGTTAATAAAAAAATGAATTTGTAAACAGATCCCCAGTCTATTAATGACATTTGAATTTGGAATTTGGTTTTGAAGTAAACGCGGTGTAGGAAAAGAGAACGAAGATAAAGATGGGGTTGAAGAATTAATATTGTAGAAATTCCAAAGAATTTTCTGTTTATGGGCTAGTTGGTAGTCCGTTGATGATGGAGATGTGGTTAGGGGGTAGAACTGAACCGGAAACACGTATTCTTGGCGTAGGTGAAGTCGGTCCTGGAATTTTCTCTGTGGGGTCCCGCGGACGTGACGTTCGGTGGTCCACGGGAGAGGGAGGTCACCCTTCAAAGATGGCTCGATTTGGAGAGGGCAAACGTTCTCCATGCCCTGGTCAGGACACGGGCTCCCCTCACCGTCATCGACGAATACCAATTGCTATTCTTGGTCCGAACCAGCGCGAAAATTATGGGCGAAGCGTCGCTGCTCTTGGACGAGCAGCGAGCACGCTTGGCCCGTGCTCGCTAATCGTTCCCAAGCCTTGGAACAACCGATGCCAAACCTACGAACAATCTACAGGGTGTACTATAAGCGCGGGTAGAGCCTCGAGCTAACGGTTCTCCCAGAAGCGGAGGGGAAAGAAATTAGTTTGGTTCTCGTCCGGTAGTAATATATGAGATTAATTTAAAGAACAACGTAGGGTAAGTAAAGAAAAAATTATAGTTAGCGTACGTTAAAGGCGAGGTACGGTTGGTGTTATTAATACGAACGTTGCGTATGGTTGGAGAAAGTGTTTAGATAATGGGAGTTGTGGACGATGGTGTTCTGCTGTTGTAAATTAAAACAAGTGTCAAAGATGATGGACGAGTATTTGCAGTTGTGCGCAGTTTGGTTTCCAATAATTATTCCAAGCACGTAGTCCATGGTTATAAATCATTTTCCCCCAGGCTGGATTAAGTGGAATTAATTTAGCAGACTAAGATGGAAGAAATTGATCTGTGAAAAACCTAAAAAAAAGAATTATGAGCCACCCTAGAAATTGGCTCATTTTCGATAGAATTTTATACAAATTTTATTAATATCTTTGTTTTATAGTATTGAAATTTACTTGAACTGTTGCTCAAAATGTTTTAATTGATCTGAAAAGTTCAAGACCAAATCGTGTAATATTTAGTCTGAATATCTCAAAAACTATTCCACACGCTCATGAATTATTCACTGGGATATGTTTCTTAATTTTTGTGGGTCCAATTGGCCAGTTAAGTCTTCGCCTATATTTCCCCTATACTCTGTGTCTATTTATTCGATGTGAGAGGCGCTCGAACGCGGTCGCGAATGATATTTTTCGAACGATAAAGCGACGCGTCGGAGACGTATGTAGTTAAAATTGAACGATAATGGGAGCTCATTGGTCGCTGCGAATGATGCTCGCGGATACTGTTATCGCGAGTCGTAGAAATTTAAGTACGTGCCAATGTTCGATCAAAGTGTGCGATCGCGCGGGAGGGCGCATAAAAACGGGAGTGATTGATCGTTCGTCGTTCGAAGATTCTCCGGTGTGTATGTTTTTTGTACGTAATTATTTCCGATTGTCGTTAACGACGATAGCGTGTAATCGTATCAAATATTTGTATAAATAAATGCCCGATAACGACGCCCCGTGTTTGTTATTCCTCTGGCGAATAAGTTGTTCCCGATAAAGCTTTGCATGTGATAACGAGCGCATGAAATTATATTAGTGCCCATTACGACCAGTGGTATCGTCGATATTGAAAATATTATTGCGGACAAAGGATATGTAATTACGGTTAAACGCGTGAAAAAATTCTACAAAAAATATATTCCGCGGGGGAGCTGTGCATTAAAGATTTATTTGTTCGCTTCTCTGCCACTGGCAATACTCTTTTTCGTATTAAATATGGAAAACTAATTTTGGACGTGGTTTTGATTATTTTAAGGTTTCTTTTTCCTAAAAACAGTTTTAATCGCGTTCGATGAGACGACGGCGGCCATTTGTCAATTTCACGGGTTTGAATCGGCGCCAAGTACCCGATACAACAAATTCCATAATAGCCACGCACAAAATCGAACAAGTATTATCGCTAATGCAACGACGACGCAGCGCCAGGCCTCTGTAAATCAATATCGGGGCGACGAGTAGTTTTTGGCGAAGGACGCGCGTCGTTGTAATGTGCGACGCATGGCGTGCTCGATCTCCCCTAACACGGGAAAATTAAAAATCTGGCTCCGTTCCCGACCAGAGTCGGGCAAATTTTATTCGCGAACAACAAAGATTTCAGGCTCGTTCGTAAATTACTTCTCGCGAGCCAGCTCTCCTCCGGACGTTGCGTTGGCTCGAAGATCTCGAAGAACAACTTCTAAATAAAACGAACAGCAGTGTTACTCCGTAACATTGACGTAGAATTTTGTCTGAAATTTTTGAATATAGCGTCTGATGAATATTGAAACGTTAGAACTACACGCTTTTATAATTGAATATTAAATTATAAGGCGAATTCAATTTACATGGAAATTAAATTTATATCAATTTCAGTCGTTCGCCTAGGTCGTCCGGGAGAAATTCGTCAGACATACTCGTTATCCGCAGGAATTTTCGTCGCAAATTGTTTCTGTCCAAGCCACCGTTTTCCATGTTTCCCGCGAGGATTATTTCAATTTCAATTTTTTATTATACTCTCGAAAATTTTCATCAGATACGAATTATCGCGTTAAGTTCTTCTGGGGGCAATACTTTTTTTGTGGACGATTGCATTGGACGTTAATAATTTTAATAGAGGACTTCTTTTAGTTCTGAATACAAGTGTGTTTTAGTACGTGGTATCAGTAAGTAGACGACGACGATCTTCAACTTTTGTTGAGGAACTATAGTAGTTATTCTGTTAGTGATACTTGGGAAGGTAGAAACGAAAGAAAAGACCCGAAACAAACTTGGAATCCTTTCGAGGTAAGTTTCTCGACAGTGGTACGCACCAATTATTGACCGGACATGGCCTTGTTCGGTTCGAACGGCACAGATGTCGCACAGTGAAGCTCCACCGCTTCGATTCTCTGTAACTACTGACCCAGAGACCATGTTCCTCCGCCAAACTGCCTAAACGATGTTAAAAATTAAGTCCACTTTGTACTCGGTCTAAGTCTCAGTCCACTCAGTCTCCTTCGTTGGAGAAAATGAAGAAACTGATCGCGCAGAATGGAATTTTCTCCTCGCGGAGAAATTGAATCGTTAATCTTCAATTCGTTCTTTCTTCCGCGTAGAATCGTCACCATTCTCGATCGAAGTCCGCGAGATCCGATAATCGACGGATAATTTTTGAGAAATTCGACGTGGATCGAGCACTCAGCCGGGAGCAAACTCGGGGATTGAAAATGGAAGCATTCGCGCGATCTGGTCTGGAATATTCAGCGGAATCGACGTCATCAGGTTCTCATGGCTTTCGAATCTCGCTGGGGTATTGCGCCCCTCTTCCAATCACGCGCGAATCGCATCAGTACGAAAGAAACGGAGTACAATACGATTATAGAACGATTCCTGATCTCGAATTTTGAATATAGTTCGAGATTTATGGGGGATAATACTCCTTGAAACTTTCCACATAAGTCGAATTCTATGAATAGAATATATGTATAGCACGGAGAATGAAAGATTGGTCTCAGGTCTAATCTTTCATTCCGCCTACAATACATCTAACATACAATTTTATTTTCAATAGTTAGTTCAAGTTGAACAGATTCGAAGGAACGAGTAATGTTATATTAATTCGACTTAATAGAATTGGCAGTTTCTTTCAGGTCTAATCTTTCCTTCTACCTACAATACATCTGACATATAATTTTATTTTCTTCATAGGAAGAAGGTGAGCTGTATTGGTCTGACTAAATATGACTGTTATAATTTTTCAGGTCCAATCTTTCTTTCTACCTACAATACATTTAGTTTACTTGCCCATTCGATCGCCGAAAAGGGAACACGGTCCTAGCATTAGCAAAATGTCGAAGGAAAAAATTGCCCCCATTTGTCTTTAATTGCGACCTGCAGCAATTCCATACGTTTTTATGGTACATTGTTTTGCCGGTAGAAAAGCGCCGAATAAAGGATTTTTTTCTGTCGTTTCGGAGATTGCATTGCCGTGTACCGGTCGCCCGTTCGTTTACAGGATCATTGTAAAAATCCCCTTTTCGACTCCAGCAATTAAACGGTTTCGAAATGGCCAGAAAGGGCGAAAACCGATCAACGAAGCACCTTTTCGGTTAGTTCATGTAGAATGTTCGCTGCGAGCACCAATTACGCCGACTGTGTTCTTGGCTACGTTCTTGGGAATATCGTTGCAGACGGTGATTGATAAATTAATAAAAGAAAATGTATAGCACCTTCGTCTTTTGTCAGGTTTCGTAGCCGTCGCGATGAAAAGCTCACGCGACGAAGCTTTCAGACGCAACAGAAACTCCAAGACGTTTAGCAGACAGTATTAACAGACGAAATAGCGAAAACAATGGCGTATACTTTAGCGTGCTTTTAGCAGCGAGACGGACACGAAGGAAGCCAGGACGAAGCAAAGTGCTCGTCGCCGAAATTACATTCAAGACGAGTTCCATCCACCACCATTAACGGAAAGTTCGAATGCGTGGAGGCCTTCGTTTCATTGTCTATTTTCATCCATTGATCCGCTCCCAGACTTTCGCGAATCAAATATTAAGCCAATCGCGCCAAACAAATTTTTATTAAATCTACGGGGAAATAATTCAAATTTTCATTACGAGAAACTATCGTTTGGTCTTTCGTGATTTGGATGAAAAGTTAGAACAATGTTTTTATGTCGAGTAAAATGATCCCTGCGATACGAGATATGTGGCTCGAAACTTATGTTCGATCATCCCACCTTTCGGAATCTACGATATTAGGTAAAGTCTGAGAATAGATGGGACTTGGAATATTCTAGTAAGAGTGATACGGTAGATGAAACTTTGAAAATTCTCAGTTCCATCTATTCTGGCACCTCCCTGAGATATTCCAAGTTCCATCTATTGTCGCGTCTCTTGGATATTCCAAGTTCCATCTATTTTCGCATCAACCCGTGAGAATAGTTGGAACTCGGAGTATTTTCCGAGTCTGATATGATGGAACACTGGTAGAATATATAATAACGTTCGAGGCTGTTAGGATAGACGAGCGTTTGAATATTTTATTCGGATAGATAGGATTTGCATAATTTTTTCAGATTTATGGGGACGGATCGCAGGGAACTTCGCGCAGTTTGTTAAAATTTCTTGGACTGATTTGTCAGACTTTAGAGCAGGCGGGATATAGATTTAGATAGATCAAATACATTACGAAACACAGAATAGACATAACTATTACAATATTACAATACAGACGAAATGAATAAATTAAATTATATTAGTAGTTGTATCCATTGCGCACCATCCTTGCGCATCTTCAGAACACACGTGTGCTGCACTCTAGCGTCTAATATTTGAACAACAAGGTTCGTAGGTTGAACCAATAAATTTTACCGCGTACATTTAAAAAATGAAGCTTCGTGTTGCAAAATGGTGGACTTTTAACCTCTTTAAAAATAAATCCACGGTGTGTTTACTTGTCCTATAGTTTTGAATAGGCCTGTACAGCCCCATAAACACGAGTTTAATGGTTTCTAACGTGCACTCGCGAAAACACTTTCCACTTTCCACTTTTGTGCCCGTTTTTTTTTTGGTGGGCCGCCAGCCAGCACGCGGTTCTGCGGAGACGTGGCTGGTGCCAGTTTTCGGTAGCCAATTAACCGACGGATGGACCAGCGAAATTGACCTCTCGCTCGAATCTGTTCTTTCAGGATAATTTAAAGTCCCTCGGGGGGACGGTGAATTAATGGGTTACATGGGAAACTAAAAACTAAGGCAGTATTTGGAAATATATTTTGAAAATAGATACCTAATTTCCATCGTAGACGTGGGTACCGACATTTGGAAATAATATTTGTTAATTAGATATTATTCTAGATTTCATCAGCTTTTCCTTAGCTTTTCTGTAATTGCCTAAAATAATAATAGTCGGCAGCGTAGTATCGTGTTTAATGATTAACGAATTGAACATGTCTGTTGATTACATTCCCAGTGATTATTTACGTTATCCATTAATCATTATTATTGATTACTGAGTAATCATAATAATTAATCATTGCCTTGATCACGCGATGATCATGCTCGTCAATCACTGATGCGATTACACTTTGCTAAATAGTGTGTGAAATACGCTGGTTTACGTTTTATAATAGCATTTTCAGCTGCAAATGATCTCTGAAGCACATACTAATTACATTTTATTTTTACATAGATAAAAAAAGAAACTAAAATCGGCAGAAGCATCGAGACACATCTAACCCCCTGAAAGGATTAATAAATTAATTTTGTCATAATATGTAAGTATTCTACTACTATTATTACATTAGAAGCTAATTTATTCAATGAACCTTTCGACCTTTCATTTTTTATTTGAATTAATTCTTCTATTCGTCTTCTCTCTTTGACTTGTTGATTGGTCAAAGGGGCAAGGTATGTTAATTTCTGTAAATTGGTCAAAGGGATAAAGCGAGACAAAATGACAATTTGTCCCAAAAGGAAGCCTATAGAATATTACTT